CCCCAACTACCACCCTCACCAACCTTAACCACTGTAAGCTCTATGGTGGTGGGGAAGGCATGGGGGGGGGAACCCACTGTGCCATATGCACCTGGGACATACTGGGGTGCCCGATGGGTGGTGAACATGGGAGCTGGGTTGGGAGGGGAACAGGAGGTAGGTGTAATACTGGCACCAAAGATCATGGCGCACAATGGGACTCTCACATAACGCTAACATTTACATAATAACCTAGTCTTTGGAACCTAATCATGTTGATAAGTGAGGAGTAGGTGTACTGGTTTCTATCATGACAAAGTCAATTAACTCCCTCTGCTCTATCAGCACGCCAGGTAGAGTATAGCATGACATTACTATACATGGTCATTCATTTCTAGGGCCAGGGATGTACTGCTCCCCCAACCTCTTATGAAATCGGATGTGAACCTTCCAAAATCATTTCTTAGAGACATGGCCAAAGCCTTATTTGAGACTTGGATGGACTATAGTCCTATGAACCTATTTGTGATAAATCACGCAATCATTCCCCTTGAGGAGATGCTTCTTCCAAAAAGCCAGTATCTCTGTTTCTCCCCTTCATATGTGCTATGTCCCAAAGAGCCGGAAGGAGAAGCTTTCTGAGCCTTTGTGGTTTGGGACAAGCCCAACTCATTTTCTTTTAAAAGGGAGTAGGTAATGTCTCATAAAAATTCTTTCCTGCTTCTATGCCCTGTTCTATTTCACCTCCAACTTAAAGGTTTTCTAAACATTTCCTTGGATCTTATTCAGCGCCTGAAGTTGTGCCTCTCGCAATCTTCTAAACTGAGATGGTAGTTTTCCTTTTTGCATCTTGCCAGTTACTCACAAAAGGTGAGGATGATGAAGGATTAATAATGTATATGGCACCCCACCCCAGTATTGCAACATTCCATGAAACGAAGATGGAAACAAAAGCAGGCAATAAGCAGACAGGACCCACAAAAGCAGAAACTTACACCCAACTATCTTCATCTCTGCATCAGAAAGAAAGGGGCGAGAATGAAGGGACAGCACAGAGAGAAACAAGAACAATTAAGACAAACAGGAAAAGAGAACGAAACATCACTTGCAGGTCAGTGATGAAGCATGCACTTTTTATCAGGGATCAAAGCAAAGGACAGAGTGTATTTCTGAGCACAAGGACAAGAATCAGAGGATCCTCTAGAGGGATGCCAAGTTTGCAAAGTTGCATCTGGGCAACCCGAGAGAAGCAAAACTTGTTACAGGTCTAACTCAGGGAAGCACAAAAAGTCCCTAAAGCAGACTATTCTCTAGGACATATATCTGAAAGGGGTTTCAGACCAGCAACATGAACATCATCTGAGAGTTTGTGAGGACTGTCAATTATAGGGTATTAACCTAATCCCATCGAATGAAAACTCCTGGGGTGGGCCCAACAATCTGCTTCCCCAATCCCTGCAGGTGATTCCGATGGACACTCAAGTAAGATAACCATTGCTTTAGAAAATCTTAACCATCAGCTACAACAGCATATTAAAACACTGGGCCAACTAAACTGACTCCTTCTGATAAGTCAGAAGATCATCCAACTAACATGAAACTTGGCTCATATCACACACAGTCAATGACAAGGATTAAAAAACAGGTTAAAACTGTTTAGCGTGAAGCCCTTTCTTGAGCAAGAGGTTTGCAATCATTCCTTTCAGTTACCATCTTTTGGCTTATATGTATATACATATTTAAGGTTTTATTATGGCTAATTCTGACATGTGAGTCAACTGGCACAACTGCCCTGCTCTAGTCTTTTCAGTCTATCTTCTTGGAAAAAAATTAGAAAAGGACTAAAAAGTTTACTACAGTGATATCAGTGCTTATATGAGTTTGGAGGGGAGGAACAAGTACCCAGAGAAATATGGTGATCAGCAAAAGGCTGTATGTGTTTGGTCTCAAAGATGGCTTTAATCCCCAGATCTGGTCATTTTTCCATAATGCAGAATGGCATTTCCTGGGTTGACATGCCTTTGCTAGTTTGCCACTCAGCAGTGATGGCTCCCATAACACCAGTAATGTTGTTGTTGGCTACTGCTTATTACCATGTATCATGAGCAGAGCTGGGAGGCTGCGTAGTCAGGACCTCAGCTGGGTGCAGAGAAGACCATCTCCTGTTTGCAGCATCCCTGGAAAGCAATCCCACCCAATGGACAATGGAGCAATGGTAAGGACATAAGAAAGACCTTCTTATAGTTGGATATTTGTATGGGTAAAGCTTGAATTCTTACAAAGCAAATATGTTTTAACAACACCCTCTCCAAAACCTATCTGGCAGTTACTTCCAAATGCTGGGTAGTTTTAAAATAAGGATTACAGTTATGAGTAAATAGAATTTTTTCAGTTTCTCAGTCAAATTGACTGTTAAAACATAACTTGCCTAGTTCTTTCCTTATATGTACATGTACCAAGATGATAAAGGTGCAACTTCTGATAACTGTCACACTAGCACTGGTGGGCTGGAAGGACTGTTCAATATTCAGGTACAATATTCTCACAGGTGAAAGGTAGACCAGCCGTAGGTGGAGGGGTGGCCAGAGCTTGCATGACTTGCCGACTTCTTGCCACAGGGACTCAAAAACAGGCTGACCCCATTAATTGCTCCTGCACACTTTTCTGTCTGTTCCTTTAACCAGTCTATTACCTTGCCTGAGAATGGTAAACCCACTCTGATAATGGTGGTTGGGAGTTGTACACTCTCAAGTCAGTTCCAACTCACAGTGACCCTACATAAGGTTTGTGAGCCTGTACCTCTTTATAAGAGCAGAAAGCCTCTTCCTTCTCCTATGGAGGGCTGGTAGATTTGAACTGCTGACCTTCCAGTTAGTCCAAATCGTAAGCCACTACACTACCAGGACTAGGGGCATATTCAGGCGCTGCCAGTTGTTAACAGCCCACAACTCTAGGAGTGGTAATCTGTGCAAAGAGAGAACTGAACTCTATGAACTGAGGAAAAATATAGAAAGGAAGCGATTATACATAAGGGGTTATTCTCTATGGGTCAATCAATCCATACTGTCAGCTACTTGACTACTTACCACCTCAAAAGCAGACGACTCAGAAAGTACAGTAACAGCCTCAGCCTGGACCTCTCAGGGTTGTCCAGTGATAATCTGGTAATTAACCAGCACAGGGCAAACCTCCTTCATCTTAGCTTGTTTTATCAATGTCCAACACTGCTGATTTCCATAGTCCTGGCCATTATACCCATAAGTGCCTCATAAATCCGTGTGTCTATGTAGAGTATGCCACGAAAAGATTTCTTTCCATGGATGTGGTTTTGACAATGTAACTCTTGAAATCAAATTTTGCTTAAGTACATATTTAACTGAAATTGTTCCTTTCTAATTTCTACTCATTTAATTTTAATCCCATGTCTGTGTGAAGGTTAATGGGAAAGAAATTTCCACACCTTAGACAACTAATTCTTAGAAAAAGGAAGCGTTTCAAGTTATCTTTTCTTAGAATATATGAAGGTACTAGGGTTCCAGTTCATACATGCATAGGTTTATTCCAAATAAACCATGATTACACATGTTTCTGCAATCAGTGGGCGGCTGCAGATAAATTCTTTCAGTAATATACTTGTCTGAGTCTCATTAGGGTACCTTCAAAAACAGAGGTCCAATCAAAATAGTGACTTCTGAGGGGATCTTCTGGGCCAATTAAATTCAAGCTAAAGAGTTAGCTCAGAAGGTAATCTGTGTTGTTGTTAAGTGCCATTGTGGGGTTAGACAGCACTTAACAACAACAACAACTATCAGTTCAGTCAAGCCTGACCTGGTCCTTTCAAACAAAGAGAAACAACCTTTTAGCAGAGCATTAAAACAATTGACAGGGTTGGTTTACTTTTGCCTGTTTTGACTGCCCTCTCATTTTTCACATCTTCTCTGGTAATCAGACCACCTGCCATCCATCTAAGCCATGTCTCTACTCTACTCCTCCCTCACTCCGTATGGTACCTTGGCTCTCATGGTCTGTTTGGATCCAATTTTCTAGATCTGTCTGCTTTAGTAGGTAACACACCTGGTATTGACTGACTTGCTGGAACTATACCTGAAGGTCAAAGCATTCCCACTTTCTGCCCTAGTTGCCCTCTGGGCTTTAGGCGAGGAGAATGAAACAATTAATGAAAAACTAGCTAGGTTATGCTCAGAGCCTAACCCACTACCATCAACTCTATTCCAACTCATAGTGGCTGTAAAATAGGACAGAGTAGAACTTCTCTATAGGATTTGCAAGGCTGTAGTCTACAGAAGTAGACTGTTGCATCTTTCTCCAGTGGAACAGATGGTGGGTTTGAACTGACAACATTTGTTCTGCAGTAGAGTGCTTAATCACTGTACCACTGGAGCTCCTGATACATTAAAAAATGTATCTCTCATTCCCATATGAACTGGAATTCACTGATATGTCAGGTTTATACTTGATATTTCCTCCTTAAAGAAGAGGTTCTTGTGCGGCAACTCTCCTCTAAGAAATGTGGTAGGAGAAAAAGGGTGCAAAAAAGCATCCCGATATACCCTTTGATTGGTTGATGATGCATGGAGGGGATTGTAACCATGGCAATGAAACAATATAAGATAGAATGAATGTAAAACTAATGCTCTCCCACATAAACTATCAAATAATTCACAATGAAACATTAAAAAAAAAAAAAAAAGCATCCCCATGAAGAGTTCTTTCTTGGTTACTACCATTTAGCCTTCACTGGAGACAACAAAGCCCATCTAATGGATTGTCAAGCTGTGCGGGTGAATTTGATGTGGTGTTTTTGGAAAAGGATATATGACCACAAGAGCCAAAGGGGTCACTGGCTACAGATTGCAGTCAACAATCTGGCCTGGGTTGTGGAGGATTTTAATGGCTGTAAGGGTCCTCTCTAGTACAATTCACTACCTGCTCAGGAGAAGATTACTAGACTCCATTCTCTTAATCCCCTACCCAACCCTACCCCAAGAAGTTCTGCCTACCTGGCATAATGACATCGGGAAATCCCAATTTCCTTGTAATTGCCAATCCCCTATTAAATATCATGGGATTTTCTCTCCGAATCTGTTCCATGTCTCCACGGAGGAGCTGCAGAGAAATGATAAGACCTGCAAAAACAAAAGTGTTGTCTTACTCAGAACCACATGTCCACTCTATTATATAGCACCAGAAAAAAAATCAGAGTCCCATTTTCCTCTGGAAAATATGCAAAGCTCAGCATTTTTCTTAAAATTATATTAATGCAGAGAATATAAGTTATTTGAGGAAATATAAGTTATTTGAGGAAATATTCTAGACAGTAAAGGGAATTTAAGTCAAGATGACCTTAATAACAAAGTTTAAGGTCTAAGAGATTGAATTAGTTTCCTCTCTGCTTCCCAGTATCCAGCCTAGGGCTGACCTGCTCCTCAGTGAATATGGAATGGAAAGGTAGAACTGTAAAAACTGTGCATTTAGGAACCCAGAGAAGCCTACAGAAACAATATAAAGGCAGACTACATACAAATATGACTTAAGAAGTCTTTGGGTCAGAGTGTGCCACAAACTGGAGACGAGCAAACTAACAGGTACAGTATTTTGTCAAAGTGAGGAAGCAACATAGTGGTTCAATCTTGCAACGGTTTGAAAAGACAGCAGTGGACAAGATCTCAAATTCTCTCTGCAGGGAATCATTACCCTATAAGGAAGAAAGGGGTATGTTTTCTTTGTAGTGCTAAGGCATTCTTCATTTATAGTGAGAGTTTCAGGCCCTACAAATGATCCTAGGGGGTCTCTGTTCAGAATCTGGTAGAATCTGTAATGTTCCCTCAAGTAAGCTGACTTTTGGCTCATTACTTGTACCCCAGAAATTTTGCATAAAATTAGAATCTCCTGGAACCCCTGCATAGTGCTACCACCACTGCAGTCCCTGGCTAGAAAGTTTAAGATATAATAGGTCACGCCTAGATGGAGTTACGAAGTACGGTGTTGAAACTTTGTAAATAGACCTGTTAACAGCATAATGAATTTACATGGTCAATGATCTATATATTTGGAAATTGAGAAGATGAACATCTCTAGAAATGATGGAAGAAAATATTGTGATGAGGACAGTCAGAAGAGTGATGTCTTGAAAGCAGACTTGTAGAGTAATAATGGTCTGGGAATAGAGAAGGGGTGAAGAAGGGAACAAAAGTAGTCTGACTTTTGTTCTCTGGATACAAATCCACTGAGTCACGTGCTAGCACAATAAAGCCCTTCCTTTGTTACAACCTGCATGGCGTTGGCAACTCAGGTGTAACCCATACTGAAGGCTGTGGTCTTTCATCTTCATCACCTTTCCTTCTTCTGCATGGCCCTTTGAATGGAAAATTCAATAACAGACAAATTTATACAAGCAAGAATACTTGGATCAAAGGAGATAACGCTTGACAGTTCCTTTTGTAAAATAAATTATTGGTCATTCAATTGAGATAGCTATTCTTCCAAGAAATCAGGATATGAATTTTTTTGCATCAGAAGGAAAGAAACATATGAACACCAAAGTCAACATCTTCTTGCAAAATTTGAAGAAAAGAATGAAGAAGTCTAAAAAGAAAAAAAAAGGGGGGGGATTGTGTGTGTGTGTATAGAAATATATACATATATATTATAATCCTCTTTATTGTATTCAGGTAACCTTTCTCTTTTTTTCTTTATTTCCTGAATTAAAGACTTTATGATCTCTCTCTTTTTCTTTGACTACTTCCTGAAGTGATTAAAGAATTTATGATCGCTCTCTTTTTCTTTTAACTACTTTCTGGAAAAAAGAATTTATGATTCCTCTCTTTTTCTTTTCCTAAAGTAAGAATGCACACCTTAAAAATCTGAACTAGCCAACCTGGTAAGGGAAAAGGTTGTGCGGTCAAAACCTAGCCAATGGGGTGAGACACAGCCTTGAGACTCAAATCAGTGATTGAAAACCTGAGTGGCCTGCCCACTCGGTGTGCTTGCTGGCCTGTTCCTGTATGTATGGCTATGCTCATGCACCCTCTTGCAGGAGTAAATTTTGCTTTGTCAAGGTAAAAAAAAAAAAGGAGTCTGACAGAAGGGTCACAGATACTGTATCTGGCAAATACAAATGTTCCTGTAACTAGGAATGGACATTCTGACAGCTGGATCAGGGGAAGAAATATGGTTCTGCTGCAGCACAGACAGAAACTTTAGATGTGATTGCTTTTGCTAAACTCATACTCCTCAGAAACCCTTGACTTACATACATGTACCAGGTGTCTTTAATTTAACATCAGGCTCTTGGTACCCTGAAAGACAGACACTTAGTATTCCAATTGGTTAAATAATCAATATTCATGATTTTGACTAGCCTAAAATAATTTCTGACAGTCTAATTATTTGATGGGAGTCCTGGTGTAACGCTGAAAGATAAGCACTGGACCACTAGGTCATTTGAACTGCAAGGTTGGCAGTTCAAAGTCACCAGCGGCAACTCGGAAACCCTACACAGGTTTGCTATTAGTTAGAAATGACTCCACGGCAATTAACAGTAACAACAATCACTTGGTGAACTAGACACATTAAAAGCCTGTAAAGAATGGGCAGGCGCCAGGATTTGACTGGGGGCGGGGGTGAAGGCTCATGTCTTCAGGATTTGAGTGAATGATGGCTTGAGGGCAGAGGAAAAAAATACTCTCTACTGGCCAGGACTTATCCAAATATTCATTGATTGGCTATTGTGTCTGTATCTCTTCAGCAGCGGAACTGAACTCAAGATGCAAAGCAGAACTTTTGAAGAAAGACTACAGCAGTTGGGAAAGTCATGGCTAGCTTCCAAGCAACCCAAAGCAATCCTGAGCAGCTGCTCTCTGGCTTTAATTAGGAAATAAGAGAACCAGGGCTTCAATATGCAAAAAATCAAATGAATAGGCACAGAAACAATGAAAGAAACCATCAATAGAGGCTATAAAAACGCCATTACCTCTTTGCAGGGGCTAGAATCCTGAGACTTAGGCTTTCCTTCCTGGTTCTGAAACCCTGGGTGATTGAGACACATCAAATAATGCTAAGGCATGGTCCTCAGAGAAAAAGAGGTCCAGAAAAGCCACCCACTTGCCCATGCAGTATGTGGTCAGTTCCTCAGTAAGTCTTGGATGTTCTATCTACCGTCTCAATGGGTCTCTCTAGCCAAAGAACTTAAAATAACCTATTCTACAAAATTCTTCAGTTGTTCTGTTCCCTAGCTCCCTCTCATTAGTTGACACACACGCACACAAACCATTTTGCTACTGAACTCAGGTTCCATTAAAATAAAACTGGGTGAAATGATCCCTCTTATTACTTCACACACACACATACACATCATTTTGTTATTAAACTTTGGCTCAGGTTAAAGATTGTTCCATTCAAATGTAACTGGACAAATTGCCACTTGTATGGAATATTGGAAAGTCAGCAACACGGCCTTCTCCTTAACTACTCCCATTTGTGGAAAAACTGGATGAGAATTAATTAGGTATATTCATCTCAGGCCAAGATACTAAAGTAAAGCTATAGTTAGTAGTCATTTAAAATGCATAGATGTCCTGTGTGCCAAATGCTCTATTTCTTCTCTTCTCTTACTCTTTTTTTAACGTAGTAAATATAAATGTAAGAAAAATTGGCATTTTCAACATTCTTCCACTGGTTCTTGGTAACATAACTTTCATACTACTAGAATTGCTAAAAGTTTGGTCCATAGCTACACATCTAAGAGGCCAACATTGGAAATATTAAAACTACACATAAGAAAGTTACTGATGAAAGACGAATTCTTTCTTTGCACTCAAAACCAAGGTAGCAATTCCTTCTACATGTTAATATGATTTAGTTTTAAGGATAAGCATTAATGACTTTTAAAATAGAACTGCCAAGGCAATGAACTGCCCATAATGTTTAACAAAGATGGGTGACAGTTTATAACAAAGTAAATAATTTTTTAAGAAAAATGTATCTTTAATTAAGGAGTCCTGGTGTGGCACTGTAGGATAAGCACTGGACTGCAAGGCCATTTGAATGGTAAAGTCAGTGGTTCAAACTCACCAGCCCCTATTTAGAAACCTTTATAGGATCACTATGATTTGGAACCAATTCGATGGCACTTAACAATAGCAACAAAATCTTTAATTAAGCAGATGAATAAAGATTCAAACTATAATAATATTCCTTGAGCAATCTATGAGATTGTCTGACATGAATATCAGTTCAGCAGTGAGAAGCCCATGATCAGAGTGGAAAGACCAGTATCCTGGAATCTGGAAGCATGGGTTCCACCTTGCTTCTGCCACTAAGAAATTTCACTAAGCTTCAGTTTCCTCCTTTATTAAAGTCAAAGGTAGAACAGGTAACTTCCAAGGTCCCAACCAACTTCCAAATTAATTTTGGTAGTGTGGGAATGAGTGTCTTTTCTTCAAAATTATTATAATCCTGTTTTTTGTATTTGGGTGACCTTTCCTTTGCTTTTTTCTACTTCCTGAAGTGCGTAGGGATGACATGACCTTTCTTTTACTTTTTACTACTTCCTGAAGTGAGTAAGAAGAAAGTGCACCTTAGAAATTTGAATTAGCCAACTGGGAAAGGGAAAATACTGTGCGGTGGAAGTCCTAGCCAATGAGGTGAGACACAGCCTGCTTGTGTGCTTGCTAGCCTGTTCCTGTACAGCTATGCACACGAACCCTTCTGCAGAAGTAAATTCTGCCTTGCCGAAGTAATTTATTCTCACCAAGTGTCTTTCTGTGTGATATCGGGATTCATTTCCAACCATTTGGGTGCCTGTCAGGGATTTCCCATTCCCTCGGAAAGCAGCTTTAGCCTTCTCCCCTGAGGGAAATGTGTCCTGCTGCCTAGTCACAGCAGCCCTCGGGTGCGATCAGCTGAAGTCTCCAAAGGAAGCAAATAAAACCGGACTAAAACCAAATGGCCACCACTCCTCTGTCAGTTTGTCGTACTGTGGTGGCTTGTGAGTTGCGGTGATTCTGAAAGCTATGCCACTGGTATTTTAAATACCAACAGGGTCACTCATGCTGGACAGGTTTCAGATGAGCTTCCAGACAAACACAGACTAGGAAGAAAGAGTGATGAACTACTTCTCAATCTT